TGACCAACTTATCGCCCGCAATCGCACTTTTTGACCATGCGCATTTATTAATGACATAATTAAGTTTATGAACATACAAATTAAACTAGCATTCCCAACTTTCCGTATCGAGAAATTCCTTCTAAGACTTATAGTTTTTGCTGTGCAAGAAACATGCCTGTGCCCAGCTACCGGTGCTCTATGCAAGTAGTCTCATCGGGAGAATGCGTAAGACTAAAAATCATAGTTGAAGTTTGAATATAAAGATAGCTTTAGAAGTTTAGCAACAAACCACATTTTAGTCATCAAATCTTACTGCGATATCTTTTTCCCACATCCGATAGAAAATACAAAATTATTGATTTTAATATTTTGATTAATAAATACTTAAAATCATACCATAACTCCGTGTATTTTCAATGAGAATTACATTACATTGCAATAGAATAACAGTAAATGGGGAACCTCGTTAGGTGTCAGTAAATTGTGCAAGGATAATCTTTATTAACATAAAGTATATGATCATATCTATCATTTGAATTGATCAAACTTACCGAATATCATCAACTAATCCCGTCAATCATATTATAGTCACTGGTGACATGAATATTTTACATATTAAATAACATTATAAATATGGATTGCTATTAAATCATACAGTAATTTTTTATATGAATTCATAGACTTATAATTTCGGTAAATATAATCATACTTTGTATTAAAATCTGACGTTTAATTGCCGTCAAAGTATTGGTGAAGTCCCGTTTATATTTATAATGTTATTTAATATGTAAAATGTGCATGTCACCAGTGAATATAATATGATTGACGGGATTAGTTGATGATATTCGGTAAGTTTGATCAATTCAAATGATAGATATGATCATATAGTTTATGTTATTGCAGATTATCCTGGCACAATTTGCTGACACCTAACGAGGATCCCAATTAAGTCTAAATATTTATTTCATATATTTAATAGTATTACACTAATTTATATTTTTAAAAATTTTATTAAAATTAAAGACAATATTCTATTAATATTAAATAATATTCATTATACTGTATTAATTTTGTTTAATTTTTAAAACTATTAAGGGCAAAATCTAGATTTCGTGACCAAATTAGAATATTGGGAGCTATTTGAAAATTCATTCGATATAATGACCAAGCTTGGGGAGGGTGGTTACGGACAAGTATTGAAAGTTCAAAATAAATCAGATGATAATTATTATGCCATTAAGAAATGTTTATTAAATGGTATATAATAATTATTGTTTAAATAAATTAGTTTTAATACAAAATATTTTATAGGTTTGTCTGAAAAAGAGAAACAAAATGTTTTGAATGAAACGCAAAGTCTTGTAAAACTTCGGTCAGAGTTTGTGATTCAATACTACTATTCATGGATTGAATGCAATTATCTTTACATTCAAATGGAGTTATGTTTCGATAATTTGATAAATATTTTACAAATTAAAAAATCGTTGTTTAATGAATTAATGGATAGTTTTGAATTTTATATATCGTATCAAATATTTCGTGAACTCACAGAATGTGTGCAATATTTGCATCGAAAGCATATCATTCACAGAGACCTCAAACCGGATAATGTGTTGATTTCAATGGACGGATGCATAAAGTTATGTGACTTTGGTTTGGCTAAAGATCTCAAGAATATTGATTCGTATAATATGTCTAAAGCCAAACATACGGCAGAAGTCGGATCTGTTGACTATATGGCACCGGAAGCTCAGACTAATGATTACAATCATTTGATAGATATCTACAGTCTATCCCTAATTGGTTCACAAATATTTGATTTCGATTCTTACGATATTATTGACGGAAAGTATGTATAAATATTGATTCGGTATTTTAAAATATAATTATATAAATAACTTATAATATTCATCTATAGGGTTGATGTAGTAATTAAATGCAAAGAACATCTGAATGACTTTATGACTAAAATGAATGCCTTATTGGTGTCAATGAGTGTTAATATGTATTCACAAAACGGTTCAACAGATTGGAGACAAAGACCCGAATGTTCGCACATTTTATCACAATTACAGACATTTATGATTAAACCTATTATCATAGAAAATGAATGGAAATCATTGCTTGAGAGTATATATGAAATTAAAAATGGTATTTTTTACAAACTCTTAATGAAATGTGAACCAAATATTCAAGAGACTCAACATACAGATATGTTAAATGGTTAAGTATCATTTTAATAATAATATAAATAGTAATTAGTTATTTTAATTTTTAGAATATACCAAATATACTACAATTATTGAATCGACATTAAAATTACTTAACATTGAACCAACTATACAAATATATAATGTGAACCATAAGTCTCATTCAATGAGTGCATTATACAAAATAAATCTATCAGGTAAAAATATTTTGTAAATATCGTGTAATATAATTTTTGATTACAATTGATAAATAGAAAATAGATATTAATTATACCTACATAACCATTTTCATTTCATTTGATTATATTTTACGAAATCATATCATAATAAGATTAGAAATATATTAAATCAATTTAATTAACTTTTCTATATTAGCGAGTAAATGGAAAATATCCGAGTCTGATATAATTGGAAGAATATATACAAAACAAGATTATACTGTTAATTATTTCGACACGTGGATTAAGGATGATTATATGTTCATAATAACGGAATTATGTTCATACCTTGATGCTATAATTTTAGTAAAAAATGAAATCTTCAAAAACGAGGCCTCCGTTGACATGATTTGCATAGATTTCTACATATCGTCTGAATTACTGCGAGAACTCTTACAATGTGTTCAGTATTTACACCAAACAATTGACACAGACATTAATGTATGGAAAATGAATGCAAAATATATATTGATTGCTAATAATATCGAAAGTAATGAATGTATTAGAGTTAACGATTTATTATACAAGATACATCAATCTATAAATAATCCTAATGATAATTCTTGTAATACTCTAAATATTATTCGCAATTTGTTTGAACCTATTTTGAAAAAGTAAGTTATAATATATTTTTATTTTATTAATTTATATAAATTTAAAAACAATATATCATTTAGGGATAACTTTCCAACAAATGTGGGAATAAATGTCAATAAAATACAACAATTTTTTAATGTTATGAAAGACGACCACAAATTGACGGAAATGGAGGAAAAGGATGTGTTGAATGAATTCACGGATACCTTCGCGCATAATATCCGTATAACCGATGAAATGGTTTCCACATTTCAAACACACATTCATTCACTGGATTCACAGAAATCTGAATATAAATTCATTAATGATTTCTTTTTATCCAAAACTAAACCAAAATTAAATACAAATGAATGTGAGATAGGATTGAGTAAAACAGAGGCCACAGGCTTTCAATAAATTATTGCTACAAATATTCTTGACATACTGGTGCCCGAAACGGCACCGGGTATGGGCGATAGAAATGATCTGGGCCCCCTGTATGCATTCCCAACTACATTTCAAAACGCAGTTAATGACACTACAGCTACAGATGAAATATTGAGTAGACGTAAAATTATTGTATTATTCATTGTTATCATGCTACTTCTAACACAATTTACAACCCCACGTATAATATTAACTTTTATACTGCAGCATGCATTTATATTTTGCATGGATCACTGTTTAGAAGTCGCATCAAAATATAAACTCATTTCACGTGGAGTTGTGTTAATAGTATTGTATCAGAGTGGGTTGTATGTAGGGTGACCAGATCCAAAAGCTTGAATACTTGAAAGTTAACTCAAAAATACTTGAAAATACTTGACATTAAATTTTATTTAAGTTTTAACGGCAAATATTTTCACTTAGCGATAAATTAACAAAATTTAATTATGCACTATTTAACCAATATTTGAAAATAATTATAGGTATTTTATATCTGAATCCATATGTTATTAATATACATAATATATAACCGATTAAGGATTGGATTATCCGTTCAAAAGCTATTCAAGTTATCCCGACTAAAGATAGAAGCTGTCATATGCTGTATAGTATACTCATTTAATACTTGATAATAATTCCCTGATTATTATATGAAATAAAATTAATATTCAAAAATTCTGTACTAATCAAACTAAAAATAATTATACTTTCCTTAAGACAATTAAATTTTAATCATGCTTACTTATAAATTATAAGTTATAATTATATTTATATTTTTACTTACGACTGTGCTACGGCAAAGCATTATCCAGTTAAATTATAATTTGTGATAAAAATAGTTGTTTGGACCATGTAGAATATACTTTTTTAATTTTTCGCGCTAACGAAAGGTTTTACTATTTTAAAATTAATTTTAAAGTTAACACCTAGGCTTTAATCAGCCCTATGAAAGCATAAAGATTTCTATTGCGTATAACGTTACAGTCGTTATGTGTTAGTGAATAGGTTTTTGTAATGGTTAGAAAATCGTTAGCGCGAAAAATTAACAAGGTATATTCTACATGGTCCAAACAACTATTTTAATCACAAATTATAATTTAACTGGATAATGCTTTGCCGTAGTAGTCGTTAGTAAAATTAAATATGTAATAAATATCAATTAGTAGTTTTATATGGAAAATGAATTTTTATGAGAAATTGTTGTTAGATATTGTAAGCATATGTAAGGCTATTAGCATTATATAATGTTAACCAGACTATTTTTGGCACACAAACTATAATAATATTTCATAAACGCGGCCTGAGCAATATTTTATTCAATAATTAATATTTTAGACATTTTAGTGATTGTATTGATATAAGGATAGCTATTTTAAACATAATGGCAATTTGTTATATTTAGTTGTGTGCCAGATTATGTCATAAAAGTGATTATAAAAGCTCAGGTCAATGTTTACAATCAGGCAACATTAGGCTGGACATTTTGGTCATGGACAAATGGTAAGACGGGTAATTTCTGGTCGTTGGAAACTGCGTTTAACTCCGGTTGGATGGCAGATCAATATCCATGCTAATTTTTAATTCAGAAGATAATATTTTCTAAATGAGTAAAATTTAACTATTATATTGTTTATTATTAAAAATGTTATCATGGACAATACTGTCGCCATAAAACAAGTACTGTGTAGTTTAATACAAAATTTTATTTTTGTATTACTACTAAGCAAATATCTGTCACTAGACTTTATGTAAAATTATAAATGTTTATTATGATCTAGATTAGTGACTACCATTTTCGATATTAAAGTGTCAAAAATTATAATTTATTATAGTAATTTATTTGCAATAATAATTGTTGATCTAGATAAACGAGACAATATTAATGATTCAGGAAATAATTTTACAAGTTTTATTTTTACAATGATTAATTTCAAATTTCAATTTTATTTCTTAGAGGATTGTATAATGAAAGTAGATTGCTATTTTCATTTTGTGGTAAACTTAATGTAACCAGCTTACTTATGGGCCATAAGTTATGGCTATTTATTTTATTCCTTTGTGCTATAATTAATTAAATTTTTATATATGCCTAAAACGTATGACCGCAATATAAACATGTGTTAAGGTAAATTAACAATTGTCATATTTTATGTAAGTAGGATATTTGATAAATTTATCAATACTTATAGCTAAGTTTCTATTGGTTTAGTAGAGTTTTCAATGTATTTAAATCTTTTATTTAGAAATTGAAGTTTAAATGTTGTTTTAATAATTATTATAAATATAATAAATTACAATTCATATAGAAAATAAATCATTTTATTTTAGACATTATACTATTTATTAACACAATACACAAATATATTGTTGTTTATTTACAATACCCAAAAATATAGTTAGATATTTATATACGAACAAGTTTGTTTATATATAAAAATATAAAACAAAAGTACCTATATAATCATTTACGTAATTGGTCAAGATTAATTCATGTGAGTAGCTTGGTGAGTCCAGTTAGAAAAGCCAAAAGATCATTTAAGGTGGCATTGACAGCGTCCTGTTGCATGGAGTAGCCGATGGTGAGCATGAATACCACGATTGCCATTAAATATCTCATTGTATGCCAAGCAATAGGTAAGCGCTTGAGGATTCAGTCCTAAAAAGTAATATGAAATTGTTGTACTCGTATGACAAACTGAATGTAACCATGCTCACTCACCGGCTATTTATGCAATTTTTTAGTTCACAATAATTATTTTTGTTTGTGTCTAACCATTTGATCTCAATATTTGACAGGTATTGTTATAAATTGACTCCGATCATATTTTTGTATGTATGACATAATTTATTATAGCAACCCGTTAAGCAACATTATATTATTTTTCAATACAGTATTTATAATAATAAATTAATGAAACATATACTGTAAATGGGACTATGAAAAAATAGGACATTATTTGATTAATTGTTCGGATATTATATAAATAATTCATTAAGTTTAATTGTACTTAAAATTAAATTTATTAATTACCTATAAGGTTTGCTAGTACAAAAATTAGAAAATCAAAATGTTGCGATAATAATGTATCAATTTATATTTTAGTGTCAAAAACGTGTAATTTATATTTATAGACAAACTGAATATAACCCTGCAGTTATAGAATTACTGTATATTGTTTTTATAATTATAAACATCAATTTTTTTGTTGTAAATAAATCTTTTTATTTTAAACACTATATCTTGTTTACTCAAAACACAAATATAATGTGGTTGCAAAACAATTTAATAATTACAAATAATGATATTTATATAAGTACACATTTGCTTACATATAAACATTTTATTTTAGTCATTATATTATTAAAACAATACACAAATATATTGTTGATTTAAAACAATTACATTTGTTTTGTAATTACTTAGATATTTATATTAATATAAGAACAAGTTTGTTTATATGTAAAAATATATAAACAAAAGTACCTATATAATCATTCATGCAATTGTCCAGGATTAATTCATGTAAGAAGCTTGGTGACTCCAGTTAGAAAAGCCAAAAGGTCATTTAACGTGGCATTGACAGCGTTTTGTTGAATGGATAGGCCGATAGTGGACACCAACACCACGACAGCCAATAGATATTTCATTGTACGCCAAATAATAGGTAACCGCTTGAGGGATGAGCC